CGCCTACAAGATCTACGTCCACGACTCCGCTCCGTCCTGGACGCTGTCTCCCTTCCAGGAGTCCACCACCGCCACGCCCGAGGCTAGCACTACCCCCAAAATCCGTAAGTAGAGCGAGCTTCCCACGCCCCGGGGCGCCCCCTCTTCTCCGCGTGTTTGTTCCCCCCCGCATTAAAACCCGCTGTTTGCTCGGTGCCGGGAGGGTCGCGCCGCTGCCATCCCCGTGCTATAGGGAGACGCGGTCGCGGTGCAGTCGCTGCCTGGGGAGCTCCTAAGTTAACGCCGCTTCTCTCCCTGCCCGGGTCCCCGGGCAAGTTCCTCGTTTGCGTGATGGATGTTCAGACACAAGCAGCCATTTGAGGTGACTAGGTTGCACTGTGTTAGTGGAAAGCAGCACATCCTCTTCCCCTTCTGAGCTGGTCTGAGGAAGGTATTTAGGAGATACCAGGAGATGCCTGAGCAAGAGGGACAGGTGATGGCCCCCACCGTGGTGGTGCCTCTCAGGAGGGCGCAGGCACGGATTCTGGGGTGCTGTGATTAAGGTGACAAGGAGAACAGTGCTTCCAAGTCCCTCGAGTAGGTTGTGCTGCGTCTCGCCAATGACGAGAGTTTTCTCTAGCTTCTCACACAGTCACTTCTGTTGAAAAAGAAAACCTTTGAAACAGAGTGGGCTCCCAAAGGATGTCCCCTCTGTCCCAGTGCTCGGCTGCTGGAAAGGGCTGCCACCAGCTCCAGCCAGGCACGCCGTGGACATGCAGACACAGTCAAATCTGAGCGAGGCTCCTATTTGTAGCGTGCCTTCCACAACCTCAGCATGATCTTGCTGTTAACTGACTGTATTTTAAGCAGAGGAGGGAGTTAGTTCCCCTGATTGATGGTTGCTGACTGACTCTCATCACCCTCCCAGGCACAACCCTAAGGATGCAGATTAAATTTGAAAATTAGTTTGGATTGGGTGCATCAACTTTCTACTTCCCGTAAAGGTTATCTAGGACAAATGCAATCTGTGCCAAAAGAACTTCTGTGCAGTGCTATTCAGTAAAATGGTTAATTATCCTGTATTATAGTCTTGTGTGTTTTCTCAGCTGCAGTATAGGAAACGAGGAGCTGTGTGTCCTCCATTAACTCTTAGTGGTTTCTGCTAGGAACGTCAATTCAATTGAGTGCTACCACCTGAAATGCTCTTACAGCCAATGGCTCTCCTTTTGCATACTAATCCATGGTTATTCCACTAGAGGATTTTGTTAGCTAGTCATTTACACTTTATTTTGTTCGTTAAATCTATTTGCTGATGAGCCCTGGGACAGAGAGTAAATGCATAGCAAACTGATCTTGTGAATTCACAAAATAGGAGGAATAGCAAATTGGATGTGTGTGGGTGGGTGGGTGAGTGTGCAGGTGGCGGATGGCTGGGAAGGGTTACAAATAAAACTACCACTAAATCAGAACAGCAAACAAGGCAGTGACTTGCTTCCCCAGTGTCTGTCGCAGTAGTTGAGAAAGAGCTGTCCTTTACAGGTGTGTAGAGCCTGCTTGCTCTGTAGATACAAGCTAAGGAAGCTGGATGTTACCAGAAGGAAAATTTCTTGCGGAGCTGAACCCTACCTCTGCCATTTGCTTTTTTGCTTTGACGGATGGAGCTGTATATGGCACTTTTTCAAAAAACGTACAAAGAGAGTGTCATTTTCAAACCGTGGCTCTGTTCTTAAGGCTTACATGAACCAGAAATGGTACTTGGTGTTTCCAACTGCAGTGACTTGTGTGTGTCTGAAATGCTGCCTGGGCTTGCCGGATGGAATCTGTCTGTGTCTAAATGCTACCTTGCAATCTCTTCCTTTGTCCTGGTTCTATCTTTTTGGGCATGTAACGAAAAATCCACTGCAGTTTCCACTGCTCTGTGCTGGTGCCTTATAAGGTAGAGATGGGAATCCTGATAAGGTAGAGATGGGAATAATACCTTGATTAATAAATAATGGTCAGCTGGCAAGACTCTTGCATGGAGGACCATGCAAGACATACAAAGGAAGAAAAAAAAAAAACAGTCTTGAAATGTTACCATGTTACCAGCAGTTGCATAGTCTTATAAGTAATATTTGTTTTAGAGAGACTGCTAATATGTTTTACAGCAGGGTGTTTCCCCTCATTAAATACAGCTTGTTTATAGGATGAAATGCACGAAGTGCAAATCTGGTAGAAATTGACCCTGTTTAGGCACATTGATACCAGGGATTATCATTAATGGGAGATTAAATAGAATACATTAAAAAAGGATTTGAATTTATAGGGCACGTGGAATTTTTTTTTGAAAGCCTACAGCTGTACTTCCCTGATACGTGCATCCTCAGAGATGATTATATGTAAAATTATCTGAGGCTGCAGTATCAACTGGGAGGGAGAGGGAGAATAAAGGTGATCTCTTTTTCATGAACTGCTGACATGGTGTGATCCTATAACCAAATATCTGCATCTGCCACTTTGCTTTGATTTTGGTGACTAACAGCTCTTAGGAAGAAAGAAATTTTTTTTAGAACAAATTCATCCTCATTTTCCAGGTTGAGCTGCATGTTTCTCCTGTGCCCATTGCTCCAGCTGCTATTGAAATGAGAGTCATGGATCCCGTTGTATCGTATGAATTCAAATACGGCATGACAAAGCTGGTGCCCCAGCTTTCCAAACAGTGCACACCTTTGTGTGATCTTGTGGCTTGGTGAGGCATGCATGGAGGCAGGGGTCATAGATTATTTAGCATTTCACAGCTTTTAAGCAAAGAAGAAGCTGTCTTTATTGCTTCATGTTGCAGTTTATTTAATCATTTTTTCATGTTAAAATGTTGGGCTTAATATATGACTTTGGAAAATAGAAGGCAAGTAAGGAGTTATTTCTTCAGAACGCTGGATGATTGCCCACCTGAAGTACATGTTGGTAAAGCCTTTTCTCTGTATGTGTTCATCTGAGGAGATGTTGTGAAATCTCTCACTTTTTTGTGGGTGTGCATAATGATAATAATTCTTGGTTGTGTTTCACTCAAAGTCAAGCTATCTGTTAGCTGTTTTGAAAGTTCTTGATGAAGATCCTTCAGGTTCTGACTAAGCAAAAGCTACTTACTCATCTCTCTGTCATGTGTCTCTCTGTGTTTCCCATGAACACACTCAGACTATGTCATTTCAGCATGAGCCTCTTTACCCAGCATTCAACATTTAAAAATAAAATAAAACAAACCACTCATTGATATAGGAGGAGAGTCTAGCCGGTAGGTTGGAAGAATCTGCCGACTAACTGAAACGCGCCAGTGAGGTTTTACTTTTATCAAGCCATTGGCTTCAGTTCTGAAGTGTCATGCCCTGTTTTTTCCAATATGCATTTTTCATGGTGTTCTGGGTTCTTCAGCACTGCTATTATCTTTAAAATGAGATATTGTACTTAGCTGAATTCACATAGGAATTCTTGTATGGAATAGCACTGTGATTTTGTTTATGTTCGTATGACCACAAGCGAATGCAGAGATCTGAGGCCAGGCAGGCAGAGCTCAACTAATGCATAGTAACCAAGAAAAGAGATGTTACAGAAGTCTTAATCAATATGTTTTGTGAAATCCAATTGTGAGCTTTTTTTCATGAGTCCAGACTGCAGTCTGAGTATATTTTGATTTCCTATGAAAGGATGGTGAGATTTTCTGGTCCAGTCGTTTATCCTAGCCATGTCTTTCATCTGTTTGTTATGCACAGCGTGGGTTCAAGTAATAAGCATCTGGCAGATGAACTGTTACCAACACTGACATTTTGGTAAAAGCTGTTTGTTGTATTCTACACTGACTCAAATATCTTTTTCACATTAAGGATGACACTTAGATGGAACTGCGGGGTTTTCACCAACTGGAAGGTGTTGTGGGAGGTGCCAAGCTGTAGTAAAACCAGACCTACACTTTCCAGAGCTCTGAAATACTCTGCCAACAAATGACATGTGTCTGAGAACACTTCACATTATTGTCATGAGCTGTCATTGAAATCAAGGGGAGCGCACATGACTGGAAAGCTCATGCCTTCCATGTTGACTAAGATTAGTATGTCAGTTATTTATCAATTTGTAATGCATCAAAAGCTGTTGAATTGAAAAAAATACTGAAATGAACTGGGAGTTCTAGAAGCACTTACTTCTCTTCCTCATTCCCACTTGCTTTCTATTCACGTACCATGAGTCAACATACCCCAGACATGATTAGATTTGTGTTTTCCATCTTAAACACTTGTCAACGGGAAGGCTATTGTCAAGATAAAAATAATAAATACAGAATTGAAGTCACATCACTAAAATGGAAGTAATTATCATCTTATTTTATTTTTCGTATTTTAAGGTTATATCTTGCTTCATCTGTTTCAATCCAGTTGGATTATATTGGACTTCATTTCATTTTCTGTTTATAAACCCCTTTATTTTTATGCTTAGGAGCTAGCACGATTATCATTGTTGAAGGAAGTGGACTGTTTTAATAAAAGTCACGCTCACAGATATGTACACATCTGCCTGTTGAGATACATTTTCTTTATGGAGAAGTATTTACTGAGAGTTGTTGGGATGCCATGACCTAGGAGAGCTTTCACAACACAGGTGTGGTGAGAGGAAGGGGCGTCACTGAAGCTATTCCACGCTGCCTTTTAAACGTGAAGAAAATTCTTTTGGGGGCTGTAAGGATACTCATTACATTGATCTAACCTCTGATCACTGGTAAAAGCAAAGGCTTGCATTTTGTTTGGCATAATTATTTTTTTAGCATCTAAATAGGGACATTATGTGATATTTTATATGTTGACAACAGAATACCATTATTAAATTTAACTATTGATTCATCACAAAGTATGCTGAAGTAATGTCAGTGGTTTGTCTAAACCCACAGAAAATGGAAATTAAAAATTAAAGCAGAAGACCTGTCTCTATCTACACTATTGTGTCTAGCGTTTGCAGTACGTTCATCATCTGAGTCATTGCTTTGAAACCTCCCACAATGCCCAGTAAGGCATACAAGGATTGGTATGGATTTGGCTCTGCTTTTATTTTTAAATTCTATAGCACATGTGCCTTTCAGGAAGTATCTAAAGCATAGTGTTAC